ATACAGTGGTGCCTCGCTTAACGAGCGCACCGTACAACGACGAAATCGCATAGCGATCCCTTTTTTGGGATCGCTAATGCGATCGCTCAACGACTTCACTCAACGACTTCGCAAAACAAAGCCCCGACGATCAGCTGTTCAGCGGCCAAAATGGCCGCCGGAAGCCCCGAAATGGCCCGAAATGGCCGTGCGCAGCATTTTCGCGCCCTCGTTAAGCGAGGCGAGGGCGCGAAAATGGCTGCCGGCCATTATGAAGCTTCGTTGAACGGTGAGTATTTGGCCCATTTGGAACGCATTCAACCATGTTTAATGCGTTCCAATGGGCTTTTCTGTGCCGTTCAACGATGCTTCAGCATAGCGAAGGTTAATCCGGAACGGATTGACCTCGCTATGCGAGGCACCACTGTATCTGTAACTCCTAGGAGTCTTTTTATTGGTCCAGCCCACTGGGCCATAAGGCACACAACACATTTTTCCCTTTTGCCTCCCTGATCACCAGCCAGCTAGGAGGCAAAGAAGAGCTATCTCTTCGACCAGTAGCAGTAGAAGAGGCACCTGTATCAACACTGCCAGCTAGGGGCAGGGAGTGGAGAAAAGGTTCCCACAATGCACTGTGGATCACTCCTCCCTCATTGATCTTAACAACACAGTGACAAGGTCTCCCTCGGAGCTACAGTGGAGTCTCGACTTACGAATGGCTCCACTTACATACTTTTAGACGTACGTACTTCTCCGGCCGCAAAGTATTACTTTGACTTGCGGCGAGAGAATCGACCTACAGACCAGAAGAGGGAGGCGGGGAAACTGCCAAATTCAAATCTGCCGCTTTCCCCGCCTCCCCTTTCCAGTCTGTAGGCCATGGATCAGCCTCCGGATGCCTTCCTGGCCTTCTCTGCCACCATGGGTGGCATCTTGGAGGTCCCCCCCCCCCACCGATAATGCCTCCGAAGCACTATTGGCGGTGAGAGGAACCTCCGCATGCCTTCCAGGGTGGCGGAGAAGCCATGGAAGGCATCCTGAGGTCTCCCACCGCTGTCGCCACGGCTGGGAGCCAAGCCGCACTGGGCAATCCCAGCCATGCTTGGACTCCCAGCAGCGGCAGTAGGGGTACCTCCAGGTGCCTTCCATGACTTCTCCTGCCCTTTCTCCCTGCCTTTGAGAGCTCCGCAGGCAAAAAGGCAGGAAGGGCGGGAAATTCGAATTTCAGGGAGAAAGCCATTTGAGACCTCCAAAGGCTCCCATCAGCGGCGGCGGTGGGGGGGGACTTCGGCTCCCAGCGGCGGGGGCGGGGGACCTCCGGATGCCTTCCCCGCCAATGCCGGCTTTCCCGGGCAATAGATCGGGCCTACCGGGAGAAGCCATCCCACGGTAGGCCCAGTCTACCAGGCTTTCCTGGTAGACCAGGCCTACTGGGGGAAGCCATCCCCTGGTAGGCCCAGTTCACTCTGGGAAAGCCTGTGTCGGCGGGGGAGCTCCGAGAGGCCTCCGGGGGACCTCCGGATGCCTTCCCCGCCAATGCCGGCTTTCCCGGGCAATAGATCGGGCCTACCGGGAGAAGCCATCCCACGGTAGGCCCAGTCTACCAGGCTTTCCTGGTAGACCAGGCCTACTGGGGGAAGCCATCCCCTGGTAGGCCCAGTTCACTCTGGGAAAGCCTGTGTCGGCGGGGGAGCTCCGAGAGGCCTCTGGCAGTGGCGCCAAAGCCCTCGGAGTCCTGCAGCAGTGGTGATGACAGCCATGGGGCATCCTAGAAGGCTTCGAAAAGGTAAGTTTAATTTTTTTTACATTTCTTTTAATTTTGTGTGTGCGTGGGGAGGTGTTTCTTGGGTGGGTTACGAATTAATTGGTTTTCAATGCATACCATAGTCTCTCGAGACTGAAGGATGCCTATGATGAAAGCATTCCTTTGGGGAATGCATTTTTGACCTTCGGACTTTTCGACCTACGGACCCCATTCCAATACGGTTTAATTCCGTAAGTCGAGACCCCGCTGTATACACATTCTCTTTACACACATGCTTTTCATCTCCAGTTCTCCCATGCTGAAAATTTGTAAAGGTCTGCTGCCTTCTTGAGAAAGGAACATTTTCTGGTGAGATGAACATCTGTTTCCCTCATTTCCAATAAAGATCTTCTGATTGCTCTTGTTTGTTACAGGAGTTCATAGAAGGAATAGCCTATGGAAAGCACAACTCTTATTGGATTGGAGCAATTAAGGAATCTAACAAATGGATATGGTTGGATGACAAGACAGAAGTGAAGCTATTGTGAGTCAGTAAACATTTTTCGATGACCAGTTTTTGTAGAAACTTTAACAGATATTGCTTTTGCTTTTTACTGAGTGTTCTTCCTGTTATTTCAATATATTCACTGCAGAACACTGCACAAGATTTAGTTGACAGTATCTGGCCTTTATTTCTGATTTTTTTTCTTTAATGGAAGATTATAGGAAACTATAAATAATATATAATAATTGCGTGGTATCAGGTCAATTTTGACTTATGGTAATCCTTTTCAAGGTTTTCCAGGTAGAGAGTGACTCAGAAGTGGTTTCCCATTCCCTTCTTCTGGAGGCATCCTGGGACGGTGCAGGTTGCCCAAGGCTACTGAGGCTGGCTCTTCTCCCTGGAGGCCCAGTGGGCGAATCGAACTCCCAACCTTTACCTTGCTGCCGCCAGTTGACCTCTGTCAACACCCTTTAATTAGAAAGATTGTGGTCTGAGCATAAAGTTGATCAACACAGGTTTATTGATTACAGTTCGCTTTAACAGGTTCTTTGCAGATCTTAATGTATTTATTTGATTATTAATACAGTAACTTGTTTCACTCTTACCTCTTTTAGCTCTCTATAAGTTCCACACTCTTAACTCCTAACTCTGTTACCATCTTTGACTACCACAGACTAACTTCTACTTCAGACTCTCATATCTCTGACTCTCAGTCCCTTCTCACCTCAGACTCCCCACTCTCACTTCCCTCTCCCTCCAAGTTCCTCTGGCTCCGCCTCCCAACAGCTCCCATTGGTGCAGGCCAATACCATTTTATATATAATGTCCTGTCATTAACAGCCATGTCCAGCTCTTGCAAACTCATGCCTCTGGCTTCCTTTATGTGATCAAGCCACTTCATATCAGGTCTCAAGTTTATTGCAAATGCATGCTTCAAACAACCAAACAGACAGCTAAACAAGTGACATCACCAGATGGCCAATACAGAAACCAAATAGACTATGTAATTGGAAACAGGAGATGATGAAGCTGCATTCTCTCAGCCAGAACAAGGCCAGTAGCGAATTGTGGTACTGATAACAAATGGTTAATATCCCACATTAGAGAAAAATTGAGAAAAAAAGCACTAAAAGAAATGTAGCACCAAAATATAATTCATACATTTCTGATTAATTTAAAATCTATGTAAAGAAAAGATCTGCATTCCTAGACTCAATTGGCTATGAACCAGAAGAATTGGGGAGTGAAACTAGAGATGTTATTAGAGAAGAATGTAAAAAGATAATTCCTGCAGTGAAAAGAAAAGAAAAACCTAGATAGCTGATGGAAGAAACAGTTAAAAATTTAAAAAACAGATGAAAAGCAGAAGTAAAAGGTGAGAGAAACAGGGACAGAATCCTGAATGAGGTTTTTCAGCATCTGTCACATGGAGACAAAGAGAACTACTGCAAAGGCAGTGAAAAGAAATAAAGGAGAACAAAGGGGGAAAATAACAGATATATTCCAGAATATCCAAGAAATTTAAGGCCAGATTAGGAATGCTGAATGACCTACAGGGAAGCACACTATATTACCAGAATAAATAAATAGAATGTGGAAACAGTATACTAAGGATTTATATAGAAGAGAGAAATGCATGACAGACTCCTTTGAAGATGAATCCTATGAGGAAGAATCTGCCGTTCAAGAAAGTATAGTGGTCCCTCGCTTTATGACGTTAATTTGTTCTAGTGAAAACGCTGTAGAGTGAAAACATTGTAAAGCGAAATAAAAAAGCCCATTGAAATGCAATGAAACCCATTCAATGTGTTCCAATGGGCTGAAAACTCACCACCCAACTCAAGATCCTCCATGGGGCGGCCATTTTCGGTGCCTGTGCAGCGAATAATCCGTCCCTAAGCACAGTGGAGGGCCATTTTCTTCAGTCGGTGGCCATTTTGAAACCCGACAATCAGCTGTTTTTGATCGTCGGAAAGTGAAAATTGGTTCCCGGAGCAGGGAACCGATCATCGCAAAGTGGAAAAACCCCATTCAAACCATCATTTTGCAATCGCAAAAGTGATCACAAAAACCTCACCGTCAAGCGGATTCGTCGTTAAATGGGGTAATTGTAAAGCGGGGCACGACTGTAAAGTGAAAGCTGCTCTGAAAGTACATGTACTAGGAAGAAATAAATCACCAAGAGCAGCTGAGGATAATGATGGAACAATTTCAATCTGGAAAACAAACACTGGCCCACATACTGGAAATGCTCAAAATATATTCTAATCTCCAAGAAAGGAAATACCAAGGAGTATGGTAACTATAGGACCATTGCTTTAATTTCCCATGCAGGCAAAGTGATGTTCAAGATGTTGTAACAAAGACTTTTACCTTATTGGAATGAGAAATGCCTGATGCTCAAGCTGGATTTCAAAAAGGCACTTGAGATCAAATTGCATATATTCACTGGCTACTGAAGTGCACCAGAGTTTCAGAAGATCAGTGTGCGCTTTATAGACTACAGCAAACCTTTTACTGTGTAGATCATGAGAAACTATGGGTGATTCAGAAAGAAATGGGTGGACCTCGGCATTTGATTCTCCTGATGTGTTAACTTGTATCGTGGACAAGAACCTACAATTATGACAAAACATGGAGAGACAGAATGGTTTATGATAGGAAGAGGGGACAGACAAGGCCATATTTTATCCCCTTATCTGTTGAATCTATACACAGAACATATCATAAGGAAAGCTAGATTAGATTCAGTGAAAATTGGTGGAAGAAATTTCAGTAATTTCAGATAAGTAGATGACCACTATCTTACTGGCAGAAAGCAGCAATGAAATGACTTTTCATGAAAGTGAAAGAAGTAAGTATCAAAGCAGGACTGCAGCTAAGCATTAAGCTGACAGGGGGGAAAATGATTTGTTTGAAATATGATGCTGGAGGAGAGCTTGGAGGATATTCTGGACGGTCAAAAAGATGAACAAGTGAGTCCTAGATCAAACCAAGTCTGGAGGCAAAAATGTTAAAATTAAGATGGGCCTAATATGGGCACATCAAGAGAAGACTGGAAAATCTGGAAAAGATAGTCATTCTGGGGAAAGTTGAAGGCAGCAGGAAGACCAAATATGAGATGGATTATTTGTTTATTAAATGTATGCCCCGCCCATCTAGACTGAAGTCTACTCTGGGCAGCTAAGAATAATAGATAAAATAAAAACCACATAGTAAAATATAAAACAACAGTAGTAATATAGTTCAAGATGGGAAAAATATTCAAGTGACGACAGGAGGGGAAAGGAAGCTACAGGCTTGAGTTTTCAAGAGCTGAGCAGGGTTATTCAGAACAGGCCATTTTGAAGTTTGCTCATTCATTGGGTCACCGTGAGTTGGAGGCAATTTTAAACAGAACTCTGGCAGGTAGGAAACAGAAGCGAGGGTCCAAAGAGACACCACAAGTATCTGCTGAGCCTGTGAAGTGTTTCATCTTCTCCATCTTTGAGGCTACTGATGAGAGCTACACATGCTGAAGAGATTAAATCTAGGTTAAATCTGATTCTGGCTTGAGGGATACACCCTTCTTCTGAGACTGGGGATAGAAACAGACTTTACAGAGCAGCAGAAAAGGAAAATCCCTAAAGATGACCTGCTTGTAAAAGTGCCAGAGCAGAATCTTCTCTCATCTCCTGGAATTTGCATATTAGCTTGCTTTGTTTTCTGATCAGTTTTTCGGATAGCTGTAGGATTGTTTTGAAGTCTCAGTTCTCAAACAGAAACTCATGCTTGGATCACATCCTTCCAACAGTAACTGGTGGGCAGTTTGTTTCCAGTCCCTACTCAAAGTACGGTCATGTCCTTTAAAGCTCTCTGTGGCTTGAGTTCGGCAAATGTTCTCTTCCCTGAGCCACCAGGAGCATTAAGGACAGCAGTCCCATCACTTCCACAAACACATGTGGTCAGGAGTCCAGAGGGGGCTTTTCCGCGGCTGGTCTCACATTATGGAACCTCCCTTCCTCATGAGAATAGGTGGGCCTCTTCCTTCCCTTCCAGACCCGGTGTCTGTAATGATCACCTCTCCCTAAAAAGAGTATGATGTTTGGACAGGGAGTCACTGTGGGTGCAAAACTACAACCTTTATGCCTGATGTAGGTCCTTTAGGCCTTAGAAGTGTGTAGTACAAGCCCCATGGACTATCCTGACCTTAAAAAGAAAACCTTTGCTTTCTTTCCAAGTAGCCAAGCATTGACTTTGTGCTTTCTTAGATAGCACAACAGCCTTGTAAGGTAGGACCTCTTAAAAAAAGTAGCAACTTAGTGGCCTTCTCAAATCTCCACTGGATTTAGGTGTAAGTCCTGCTGTAATCAAGAGACCAGTCCTCTTCTTAAGAATTATATTTCTTTTTATTAAGAAAATAAAAGACTTTCATTAGTATACAGTTGTACCGTTAATGCATAAGCTTTTAACAAACCATTTTTGCCGGCATATAAGATGACTGGGCGTATAAGATGCCCCCCCCCCAACATTTCCACTCAAAATACCACCTTCGATGGAGATGATGTGCTCGTGGATCTGGCTCTGGAGCGCCAGGTTTGGGATAGGAAAGCTTAACACATACAGTTTTGGCCATGTTCATCATCCTCAAAACAGGTGCTGGGAGCTGCTGATAAGTTAGCAGTAGCATCATGCAAGAGCTCCTGATCACAACCTCTTCTCATCATTGTTTATTTTAGGGAGGTGCCTCATTCCATTCCTATCAGTATTAATTTATTGAACTTCTACACTATTTGTGTGTGAGAGACAGAGTGCGAGAAGTGTTTTTGAAATTAACATGGCAGCTTAGGAGTTTGAAATTAACATTCCATCTAGGAGTTTGCCCACTTGAAATATAGTGGAGCACTAGGCACTTCTAGGTTATTCAAGCCACTGTAAGATGTTTTCTAACTAATATGCTTTAGCATTTTGATGGACTCTGAAGAGCTTGGCTTTGGAAGCTACTGTAGGCATCTAAAAGGTAATGTTCCCCTTGACAATTTGTCCAGTTGGGTCCAACTCTAG